TGAGCTTAGTTGTCTTACGATAAAATATTTTGTGCACTACAATAGAGTGTTGTGTTCGCAGCAGAGCTGACAAGAAGGTAACATATACCCAACAAAGGCTGTTTCTGATATTTTACGGCGACGGAAAACGACGGAAAAGCGGAAAACCATTCACGTAGTTGACTGCCAGGCGGTTTACTTACGCGGCAACAACTTTTTAATCCATTCACTGACCCTCTGCTTCCCGTCTTCCACCGCAACTCAAAGCAAAGCCCGCCTCAAATGGCCTACCATCGAAAGCAGAAAAAAAAAATTCAGAAACTACACGGTTCGAACACAAAACAACTTAAAACTACTGCAAAACACCTCAAACAGCTGGAAGCTGCAGAAATTACAGAAAAAGTGAAGCAAAAATCCCGTAGCTATGCGAAATCCTGACCTCAAATAGAGCTTCAAGCGTAGCGAAAGCCAAGGCCACGTGCCGCCGGTGTAACAAGATCACGTGACCCCATGACATGTGTCATTTGAACAGGTTATGCAATCACATTTTCTGCGGTATCATTGGTTACAATTAACCATGTGACAGATTGGCATCTTCACGAATCCATGTAATGTTATTCACCGTGTCACAATATTTCATATGAACAACGGATTTTAACAATTTATGCAGCATTGTTGAACAAGGAAAACCCGCAAGTGCTCGAAAATGTTGTTATGACTGATTTTCCGGTCGGCAGTCAAATCTAAAATTAAAAAAAGTTACAAATTTGTGGTCCGATTTTGAGATGTTTTTGTATTCCGCGAACCAATCAGAGGCAAGATTGTGCGGCGGGTTGCCTCACATAGGTAGATGATTTCGCAACATCTATATAATGGATAGCCACTGAACTGTTCCTTTTAATAGAAAGCTATTTCGCTGAAGTGACATAGTAATCGGGGTTGAAGCTGACATAATCGATTAATTGGATAGAAGTTAAGTTTCGATTTAGTAACATCTCTTGCATCTAATATTCGATCGAGATAATCATATCCCCATCACTGTGTCCTTGCATCATTGGAAAGAAACATTCCGATGAAGGCAAAGCATGGGAAGTGTAGAAATCATTAGGCCAGAGAAAAATTTATCTCATCGTTGCATTGGTAAATATAAAATTTCCCCAACTCAACGAGTTTTGACCTTCGCTTTATCTCATTTGATACCATCTTAGGCGTGGGAGGGAAAAAAAACTCAATTAATATAGCATTTATCGAATGCTACCACATGTACAATTTTAATGAACGTGACTTGTTTGATTACATTAAACAGTGGCTTGGCTTACCTGTTGAGCTGGAAAGATATCGTAGCCTCAGAGGACAGGTATTAATAAGACAACTATTTTTTATGTTCTCTTTTTTCTCCACGAAATGCTTTCCATTGAAGTCTAATGGCTTTGCTCACTGTGACAACGCTACATTTGATATGTGATGTTGACATATTCAGGGGGCGTCGAAAATTATATTATTTACGCCAGGTTCAACTGTGCCTATCCGGTGACGAGGTTTCATATCTTAAACGCAGTGAAGTCACAAATAATTTGTTGACTGTTAGAGGCTGCAGTTGATGGCTACGTATTTCCGTGGTGATTATAATTTTTTTTCTCGCAGCTTATTCGTTAATGATTTAAGAAGGCTCCACTAGTAAAACAAAAGACAAAAAAAAATTTTAAGCACGTAGAAGTGGCCAGCCTCCACATCCACTGTTCACGGATGATCACGAAAATAAACCGTGTTGATTGCATGTGTATCAAATATCTGTTTCGACCAACCGGCAGAACACGAGCAAGAACTTAATCCGAACTATTTTTAGCCATGTCAGTCATGACACTATATTTTAACTCCCATGAGTAACCAAGGCAGAATTTTTCCTTGCAATACCAACACAATATTCAGCAGACAAGTAATGAGAATGAAGAAAAACGTCGATTGTGAGATTGTTAGTTGATCCAATTCCAAATTCTCCGAATTTGCATCATGAGAATTGTATGGCAGACACTAAGGAGAATGCCTTATGAGATCTGAGAGTGAATTGCTTAGCCATTAAAGCAAGAGGATCTAAACTCAACTAGCCGAAGGGGAGGGGGCAGACAGGAGAAGGAAGGAGAGTGTTGATGGTTTTGTCGAGCGAAGAGTGAGTACCTTTATACTCTGAGGCTGCTCCACAAAGAGTAGACATTATTTCTGATTCTAACCGAGCCAACTACCGAAATTGATGCATCACGGATTAAATAAGTTTACTTGTACACTATCCCTCTGCTGAGAGGAAATGCGCATGACGCAGTTGCAACGTGTACCCAGGGTCTCTATCCCCCTTTGCCTCTGTCCGTGGTTTCCTGCGCGGAGTGCACATTGATAATCACGAGAGGATTATTTCATACATAAACGACCAGAAATAGTGCACGTTGCATATTAACTGTTTTCTTAATGCAGAGAGACTTCTACAGGCAACCCCCAATACTCAATAATAATGAATAAAAAAAGGTAATTAGATAGATGATTAAATGAAATTAAAATAAATGACTTATTCAGTTTAAGGAACAAAGAATTACTGTCTGGTCTGTTGGCCGAGCAGCCACCTACGTGAGGTCATTCGTCATGAATACCTTGTTCTTTTGTATGTTCTATTTTCTTTGTCGTGGTTTCGATAAATTTGTTTGGATTTTCTTCTTCACATAAACAGGAGCGTCAAGTAGGTTTTTGCTAAGAGGACTGTCTTTTTTTTTGTTTGGTTTTCTCTTGTATAAAAGGGAGGAAAGTGGTAGTGTGTAGCTCCTTTATGAACGTCAAATGGATGATCATTCATTTTACGATTCGTGAGTAATTCATTCCGTTCGTGAGGTTGAGGAACGTAGAGGGCAAAGGGTAGATGATACCTGGTATAAGTTGTTTTATCTGCCGCAAGCGGATACTGAGCAAGTGACAAGTGGAAACATGACAAAGGCAATTGTCGACGAGGCTTTACTAACGACGTTGTAATCTGGGGCGGAGAGCTTGGTAGACAACGATATACTCTGCGGTTTTTTGAAAGGCGGATCAGTGAACTGTTTGCGCCTTTTACAAACGGACATTAGAATCCAGTTTCAACTTTTTTTTGTTTTCATCTTGAGGAGGAGGAGGTTGAAAGATAATTCATTTTGAGGAGGATTGTATCAGTTAGCCCCTGGTTTTTCTCCCACGATCTGAGGAATCTGGGGCCGAAAAAAACGCAGATTAATCCTCTGGACGTGGGGGAAAGGGTCGCGTAAGACTTACCCTGTCTCTCACCAATCTCTTCCCTCCCCCAGCTGCTGTCTCAGTGTTAGCAGGTCACCTGACCAGATTTGATTGGATCCAATTTTATAACGTAACTGAGATACTACGAGCGCCATGATTGGTCAAAACCTATCGTCTATTACAACGGTCAACCCGTACTTATCAGACCAATAGACCGCACTTTCTATCGGTTTAGCGGCGTAATAACCCACTCGGGATGTTGGGAGAAAACTCGAAAAGTTTGTTATGTGTTCTCCTAACATCCCGCGCAAGTTATTACGCCGGTAAACCGATAGAAAGGGCGGTCTATTGGCTTTATACAACCAAGGTGGTCCAACAACCGGTAATTTTAATACTAAATCAGTTTGCTGTTTTTCTTCTTTTGCGAGGGCCATAATTTTCTGATAGGTCCGATAGGTCCAATACGACTGGGTCAAAAGATTTCCAAATCAAAATAGCAAACCACGAAAACTGGATTGTCAGTAAAGTGAGGTCGCTCTGTTTGATTCGTTTGTGATATTTATGTCGTGAAAAGTCGTTGGTAGAGAGCTGGCAAGGGTTGACATCTGTTGACACGAACACAAACGAGTGACGAAAAAGTAGTGATGTCAGTGATTACATTACTGAACATCATCGACTCACGTACCACACTCTTGACTTAGACTTTGCCCGAAATTTAACTTGCAATCCACTCTAAACGAATGACTTTGGAAAGCTGATTTCGTAACCACTAAGAACAGATTTTACATTAAGTACGCCGCTGGACAGCAGGCTTAAGTGAGCGCTAAGTACAAAATATGTCTCTTCATTAAATTATTAACTTTGCTATTCTTATTTTTGGGTTGCTTGATGACAGTGGGGAAGAGTCTGAATTGGGGGTGGGGGGAGATCCTTATTCCTCAAATCAGTAGTCAGTTAAAATTTCTTTATATTGTCGGTAGTTGGTTAAAATTTTCGATCTGTGTTGGTTAATCTCAGTCAATGATTAAAAATTCAGGTTAGTTATTCACATTTGTCAAGTAATACATAGGAACAACCTCGAGTACCGGACGCTGTTCTGGAATTGAGCCCGCACGCCTACTCGGCCATAAAATACATTTGATGACAAGAAATTCTAGAATTTAACCGAATCTTAAATCTAAAGTAGCTACCTCCTAAGCTAGAATGTTCTTCCTTCTGAATGAAAATGTCGATAATGTCGGACCATGAAGGTAGTCGGTTAGTGTTTACTTGTTTACTCAGTGTTTACTTCTAGCTAGTCGGTTAACCTCATTCAGACCCTCTTGAGAATTTAACGAGGGCGACACCTGGGATAACGTCAATTAAAAAACAAAGTTCCATTCCCCTGGAGATTTTGGTGAAAAGCTCGTTGCCTATTACTGTCTCTGTCTAACAGCGCCATAGTTCCCCTTTAGGCTGATATGTGTAGACAAGTCAAGTTTAAACAAAAAACGCGAGGAATTTGGAGTCAGGCTTCCGTTTTCAGCGTTACCAAATTTCCACCGTGGCTGCTAGGCAGAAGAAGTTTGGAAATGACTTGTGTTTAAATTGGACGTGCAGAACTATTGTTCTGCTGATTAAACGTTTTGTTTTGCCGCGTTCTTGTTTCCGTGGCCGTGTGTAATGCCTACCAGACGTTATGATTTCCAAGCCATAAGCAAAAAACCAAAAAAAAGGACATTGGACCTCTGGAAAAAGGCAAAGAACACAAACAAGAAAAGAACCTAAACAAAAAGAAAAGCAAAACATCATGGAATACTAGCGTTATTATGATGTATTCTAAAATAAAAATATCCAAATATGACTCTCAACGGATTATTTGATTTTAGAAGCCTTAAAAAACAGATACGTCATGAACAATACACGAGAATTAGTATGAAAAAAGAAAAAAAGACTCAAAAACCTCTTCTTACACTTTAACTCTGGGAAAAAGCATCAAATTACAAACCCGATAGTATTTTATAGTACAACTATAGCCTCTACAGCCGCCCTGATGGGCTTTGTACAAACACAATGGTTGTTTAAAGAAAAAAATTCTCTAATGTCACGCAAAAGGTCATCAACTCTAAGATTCCAATGTTATTCTAAACATCTTTTTTTATAGCCCATAGAAGTTATAGCCATAAATTTTCCATGTCATCACAGCTATCGAGTGGGTACCTAGGCTTGTCGTGACCAGTTATTAAACAGAACATTGGCAAGATTTGGCTTTCATTCTAGAGACCAAATGTGTTGAAGTTGTTCCGTTTTCAAGTACGACAAGTAATGTCTCGCTTTCCATAAAAAGTGGCCTACAGCACTGTAAATCTTGCACCCTACGGCCATAGAGGCGTTTCAGCATGTTCAATCGAGCGGCGGGTGACGGCCTGTACAGACCGGAAGACTTACAGCTACCAGCGCAGAAGTTAACAGTTGCAGTTTTGGGAAGGTGCACGAAATGCAAGCCGATTGCGGAGAAATTAACTCTCCACTCGTGTAAGCAGCATGTCAACGGGGCGGTGGCGGAGCAATTTGTTAACACTTTATCTCTTTTCTTTCGGTTTAAGGACTGCTTCTCTTCCGCTTCGACTGCAAGAAATGGCTGAAGTGTCTGCCCAGTAGCGTTGTCGCTAACATTCCCAATCACCAGAGATGGCGTTCCTTTCATTTCAACATCCAAGCCGAGATCATGGTCTACATGAAGAGAGAACCATTCTTTCACTGTACCGGTCACTGTTACTTTATGCCAGCCAGCAGCCGCCTTCAAACGTTCGGAGTGGAAAAGCTGTCTTGTCATGCCATAACCATTTTCTGTAGCCGATATGTATTTCTTGTAAAGGTGCAAATCGCTGTTGCTGTGGTTCGGTTTCTTGTCAACCGTTGTAGAGAGTGATTCTACCAGGTGAATCCATAGAGTTGCAGATCTAATCATCAGATTTGAATTTCTGGATCTCGAATTGAAGATGTAATTCATTCTACCTCCATTAGGTTGTGAAGTAACTGAAATATATATTTAAGCAAAAATTATCTGCAAAATCTAAGGTATCTTCATATTTCATAACATTTTGCAGCATGTCAGTCTCATTACGTAAGTTCAATTGCAATATATTTCCTTGTGCCCACTTCATTGCTAAGCTTTAGTAATCAAAGCTATTGACCACTTACTACAAACAGACATCTTAAATTGACTCGCGACGATGGTGTCCTCTGAAAATCATTTGATTGCCTCAGATGTACGCAATAGACCCGTCACAGATGAACAAGAACTGTCTCTGTTTGACCTCTTCTGCCTTTTTGTTACATCCTAAAATAGTTTTAAAATTCTACATCATGCACAGTTTTATCATTGTTGTTCTAAAACAAAACGTACCTTGCTTAGCAAATAAGAACAGATCTTCCTTCCCAGTCTTCAGGTTGTTCGAATCAGTATGTTTTGCAGCAAAGTCTTTCAGTTCCGACTCGAGGTAATCTTTGAAAAACTTCGGAAACTTGGGTGTTTGTTCTTTAGAGATGTTTGGGACTGAAGACAATCCAAGCTCTTTCAGCAGTTTTTCCTTGAACATTTGCACATGAATCTGTTCTAGATCAGAGAGATATTGTTCGTAAGATTGACCCGACAGTGCTTCGTGGTAGGAATGGAAAGTAAGAAGTAAACACATCATCAACAGCTTCATTTTAACGCCGTCTGCTGGAATTGTTCAGAGCAATTTCGACCGATTGCACGCCGGTGCTGGGTTACTCCACAAAACGAACCGATTGCCAACGTTGGTCTTATATCTAGCAAGTAGAGGCCAAATCAGCTGAAATTTGTGATGATTAAAATTGTCATAAAAACAATAAGTAAAATGAACTGATGACATACCAGTAACAATCTTATTGTCTAATGTGGGCAACCTCTGCATGCACCTATCAACCCTCTATCTGAGGCATCACCGAAAGAAAAAAAAACCTTGAGCACTGCATGGAATGCTCTAATTTTTGTCGATTAGACAGTTTTCCATAGCAAAGAAGGGAAGATTGTAGATTCTGTTCCAAAAATGAAAAATCTTATGGAAGTGTTTTTACAAAAGATAATAGCTCTCCCGTTGGGTCGATTTATTTTTGTCAAGAAATCACATTTCTAGGCGTGTCTAACGACTAAGTTTCTTATCCCAAGTCGACGAAAATTATTTGTCCATAAAGCGACGGCACGAGTGCCGCAGATATGACCTCTGGGTTATCAACACTTTAAATCGTCGGTAAGACAGAATTCGAGGATTTGACGGAATTCGCGCTATTTGTTTATTTACGACGCATTTGATTGCATTTGGAGCAAAATATGTTTAAAGTTTAAGTTTATCAACGGATAAATGAAAGTTTCAATGATCGTCTGAAAGGAAATGTTCACATATCTTAAGTTTTTACTTGGGTGCAATGTGATTTTTTTGGTAGTCACTGACGTCAGTATTATAGAAAAAAAAGCCCATAATTGTTCCATATGTGTAAACTTTCCAACCGATTTCCTTCAATTTTTAATCATGAAAGTGTATAATAATGATGATCAATGTGACTTTCTGATGTTCAGTTGAACAGTGATGGCTTGTGAGTTTCTTCTCATCTCTGTTTTAAAGACCTTGAATCCATTTGTGATCATCAGTTCAGTAATGAAGTGTTAAGCCGTGAAATCAGAGCACAGGGGGCCTCTACGACCTTATTTATTTTGGTTCTGAAAAGCAAAGCGCATAATGTCAAGGTGAAGGATAAAGAATTACAATGTGGTCATTTAGCTTGAATAAAACTTCCTTATACTTCGCCTTACTATTAAATTTATAAATTCGGAGTTTTCAATAAACAGTTTTAAGCTTTAAACAAAAAACATCTTTTTCTTCTCGGCGGTCATTTCAGACAACATCAGGATTCCTTCTGTCAAAAGAGATCTTTCCTAAGCGACAACTGAAATTAAGGAAAGCCTCTTAGGAAGTCAAAGATTAAAATTTCATTCATCTGAAGCATGGATGGGTCTCAATTGTGTATTAATTAATCTTCAAGAAAACGCGGCGGGATGTCGTTTGAGTGGATCGAAGCGGCGCAGATAAACACAGGATATCGATCTTTAGCTCTTGATGATACCTGATTGATCTTATTCAGCCAGATGTGAAGTTTGAACTCGGCCCTATCGAAGGAGTGTACGTGCATACCACAGAAAGGAGTGGCGCTTGGTAACTCTCTCGTCTTGAAAACTTTTTTATTCAATCTTGTCATCTTGAAGCCTTTGCAGAGAGTCTAGTCTCACATTTCTTTCAAAGTGGAAATGCAGCTTAGGAACCTTGGAGGTATAGATAGTGCTAAGCGAAATAAAACCATGCGTGGGAATATGGCAATGTGACAGCTGCTATCGCTGATTGCTCGCAAAATAAGTGAATTACTGAGTATGGCACCTCTAACATACTAAGTTTTCTTGTCATTAATCGTACCCTATAATAATCCGAGTATAGCAACCCTAATAATATTGAGATATAAAGCTTACTTCTTACTCTTTGTTTCGTTCGTGCCTTCAATTCTATAACACGAGTGTAAGCTGCCAGCTATGTCAAAACTTGATCATCTATCTGTATCATATGAATACCCATTTTTTTCGAATTATCTTTTTTTTCTCCATTTTCTGGAAAGAAATTAATCACTGCTGGAATTTTCCTGTCTGTAATTGATCTAATCCAAGATGATTGATTGTTTAAATTTAATAGCCACTGAGAATTATCCCCAAGGTGAGAGGAACTTTAATGAGCTTTACACATTACAAGAATACATTTGTTGAAACAAATCGCACGTTTACATTCATCCTCCAGGCACTTTGATTATTTTAAGTCAATCTCTGAAAGAACTCTCATATGGTGTGTGTGATTTATCTACGGCTGATCTACCGACATTAACAGGATCATTGGAATTAATTGGCGCTTAGTAATAATCCTATTACGATGTCAGATATTCCTAATATGGCCATCTGAATAGCTTTTCATTAGTATCATATGTGCGATCAGTCAACAGCTATAATCGATGTAAGATTCAGCCAAGACTCCACGCATACTCCCGCATCCAAACGGAATAATGATGATCAAAAGAATTGACAAAACGTTTTTATAATTTTCCTCTGGGAGGAAATTTATTAGCCCTCCCCTCCCCTCTCCCTTGGTGATATTCAACTGCTTCAACTAAACCTGGAGATAAAAACTTACTAGAGCTGAAAGGAAGACTGATGTTTCAAATGGAGATCTAAACTGACCTAGTCTGTTAGATTTCCAGCCAACGATTGTATCAACTCAGTAATACGCACAGCAATAAGCATTTGGGCATATAAGCAAAGCAACGAACGTTAAAAACCCACTGATTTTTAGAAGAGAGATTACACTGATCAAAAAGTGAATATGTTCAGCCTCTCAAAGGCGCTTTCTCACGACAGAGTAATATCAAGAAGTGTTTTAGAGCTATTACTCATGATCTGATGCAGACTTTTCGATGAAAAAGAAAAATACAACAACATCGTTATCAACTACACTAAAATCAGTCACCGTTAACTTTACTCTGACAAGTATTAAGGTAACATCCCTTAGCTATCACATAGCCGGCTATCGTATGCAGTAAAAATTAATTTTCCGATGGAATTAACTTTTGCCAAACGTTCCTGGAAAAGCTTAACCCCTGTCAAGTCGCTAAATGAACCCTTTGCCTAAAATCATTTACCTCCAGATTAGAAAAAAACGTGGCGAAGGACTAATCTAGGCGGTACTGGGACAACAGAAAGTTATGCGTAAAGATGGTAGTGCGGAGGTACTAAAGGACTGCTAAGGAACACATCCATCCATTAGACAAGAAGCGGAAACCAGAGCGAGTCTAGAAAATTCCTGTAGCTGGATCCGAGTGTTAATTTACATGAGCTAATCTCTGTCTGAGTGGGGCTGTGGGCCACTTCCTGCACGCAATGTTCTTTAACAACAAAACATTGGCAAAACTTCCGCAATTGCTTCATTCCCAAACGCGAATTCATTCGTTCAAAGCCTATTTGATTAATCAAGAAACGAAAATTTCTCACATGTATATAATACTATCAACACCCTAAAATTAACTGAATCCTAACTGATAATGAGTCAATTCTATCAAGTTTTTGCTATTTATAGTTAACAGATTTAAGACTACGCCTAAGGCATAAGTGGGTTGCATTAGCACTTGGCAACCATTCAATGAAATAACAGCACATTCTAACATGTTTGCTGGCACCACATCCACAGATGTGAGGGTTAGGCGAAAATAAGGAAAGCTCTTTGAGTTCTACCACTATTGCAAGTGAGTGATGAAAATTATATCTAAGGTCATAAACTCGTTCAGAGAGAGAGAGAGTATGGTTGAGGAGGGGGGAGGGGAATGGATAAGATTATGACCGTTTTTTCAATAATCCTTCTCTCCTGGACAATATGAGCCTGATCAGTGTAAACAATCCAAGAGAAAGCAGAAAAGCTGTCTTAACATAGACAAATGTTAAAGCTCTTGTGATCCATTGAGACAGATTTTAAACTCGTGATTTATAATTGTTATAACTATATCTTATTCACCTAAAGACTGTTGAGTGATAATACGAATAACAATCTATGCGCGATGCATACACTATGTTCAGCTTAAGACAAAACCCAACCATCAATAATGCCATATGACACAGCTTGTGATGTCCGCATGTGTACCTTGTCCTTTCATTCTTTTTCTTCAAACTGCATGCAACATATCTTTCATAATGTTGTGCTCTTCTTATGGTAAGTGGACTGAAAGGCTTAAAGTGACTCGAGTAATACCCTGTTGAACGGATCTCACGAACGCACGTGGTGAGTATCAAATGGCACATACGATACCTGTGAGCTGAGGTTGGAGTTTTTATAGGGAAGTTGTTCAGTCAGAGATCACAAATGACGTCAATGTGCTAAGAACAAGAAAGTGGCACACATCTATTACAGAAAGATTCATGGCAACTTATTTTATGATTAAGACGCAAAAAGTTGTAAATGGCGACGTCATCTACGCGTCTCTCCTCCAATAGATTATAAGACAGAACCAATCAAAATTATATTGCCTCTTTTTGACTTTAAACCAGAGCAGGGCAACCTTATCAAGGCAAAAAGCAGGATATCCTAGGTTTGCTTTGGGAGCCAGAAAAAGTACTTATAGAAAATGAAAACAGGTGAGTTGTGTCGTCGGCGAGATACTGCCGGGAGAGTTGTTTTATCACGTCTAACCAGCTTAATTACGAATAAAATGCTTACATTCATAATGGAGGAAATGAATCTCTCTCTCTCTCTCTCTCTCTCTCTCTCTCTCAGCAAATACAGATTTTCTTCCTAGAAGCCTTTCCTTGAAAAATCCTATAGGGGATTTCTGATCAAGTATCACACGGATGACTTGTGAACAAACAAGCGAAAAAAACAATTTTCAGATTACAGTATTTACACTTTTCCCATACATCAAGTCAGAATATAACAGAGTGAACGGGAAAACGAATTACTGAAACTTGTGTTTGTAGGAAACTAATCTTCTATCGTCCTGGCTTAGGGAGTATCCGCTTAGGATAAATATAATGAATGTGTAAAATAGTATTAAATAAAGAGGAGGAAAATGTTGTCAGCGGTTTCCCTTCCTTTTATTCCTACCATTATCACACTAAAAGAACAGCCGTCTGGGAGGAGTCCCTAACCCCCTTCTTGGTTTGGCAAACGGGAAAATTATTGTATCTGTTTGACTTTGCAAAGATTTCCGATTGGCAAACATTTTTGACACAGACAGAGGAAACCAAAGTGATTCTGCTCATTTGACGGCAGCAGTGCTCTAACTAACATTATTTGTTACGTTACTCGCATTTTCTAACAATTGTGAGACAAGGTTACAACAACCGATACACGATGCCCGCAATCGGCGGCTTTCCTTGAATATTGTCACTATCTCATGAACTATTGCTTTAAATTTTACAGAATTAGAATAGAACTTGACCAACGGAAACCAGTACAGCAATTTAAGTGGTTACATCATATTATACTACCAAGCTATCAAGTAACCAAGTCATCATTTCAAAGATATTTTTGACGCCCAACACTTAAAAGACCTTTACAAGTGGAAAAAATTTTCAGGTTTACTCACATAAACAAGATAGTTTTCCTCAGTGTAACAGGAACTTAAAAGTCAGGGAAACGAAAGCGTTGTCTTGAAGTTGATGTGAAATACATGTATATCTTAGAAGCTCACTAATAAATAATGTGCTGCTGAATATATACAACTATCAATTTTAAAACCAGCATCGGTATTGTGCTAGCACTCAGTGGGAAAGCATAGGCACAGCGTGGCACAAGTATTGGACCAGCATTGGTGCTGTATCATGTACTTCATTCATTTATTTCCGCTATATTTTACCCAAACCAAGCGTTTCTTTTTGTTTTTGTCAAGTAAGGGTCTTGAGACAATTCTTCATATTTCAATTCTGCGTTCATATCAGCCCGCTCTCTTCCTCCAGGCTGTCTGTATTGCTGTTGTCTGTTTCCTTATCCTCTGCTTTCTGTTGGTGAAGCCACATGTTCGCATACACACCGCCTTCTGATACCAACTCCTCGTGTCTGTCATTAATAAAAGAAGAAAGAAGAAAAAACACCATCAACGTAAGTTCTATCGCACATATAACAACCAAAAAAAAAAAGAGTAAAAACAAACAAGAAAAATGCCGGCCTTTACCTTCCTCTTTCGATAATCTCGCCCTCGCGCACAACAAGAATCTGATCTGCGTTTACAATCGTGGATAATCTAAAGGAGATAAAAGCTGTCAAATTATTTTCCACAAAGGGGGTAAGTTTCTAAACAAAATGTGGTGCTGCGTCGGGTGGGAGATTATAACAGGGTAATTTAGTATTATCAACTG